TGGATGGACTCTCTGATCCACGAGATCCTTGCAATAGCATAGTATGGAGATGTTTATTGAGTTTATAATTTCTGGTTAGTTTTCCAGTCCAAGATCAAAGACTTTTTTTGAATGTTTCCAAAAATGTCGTGTTTTTTAAACCCATTCATTTTAGCATCGTCATTTTGAAAAATTATGCAATTATAACAGGTTTAGAATTTAAGTGTAATCGAAAGATACCCATTCCATCATAAACATTAAACGAAGTTAAAAAATTTATGACCTATAACAAAAAACAGATTGGATAGAACATCGATTAAAAAGTTAAAGCCTAAAGGAGAAACAAAAAACAAAGTTGCATCGAGTATAATTTAAAAAAGCCCGAATTACATTTTCTTTGATCAAAATCCAATTTATGTGGATAGTGTTTAAAATCAAACCGTTCTCTCAAGACGTCGCCTATCAACTTCATATTAAAAATCCAAATTATATCCCATATGATTAGTATTTCCAGCGAAAACTTTTGACGTTATTAGACTATAAAATTTTGAATTATGTAAAATCGGCGAGATGCGGGGACGGTCTATAAAGGCACGAAGTAATTTTTATTACTAAGCAGATTTCCTCAAAGCAATCAAATATTGTGGCATAATTTAAATATGCATCTTCTTTTTCCCGCTGCACCGACGACTTTTAATGTCACGATGCAGTTTAATCTTGAAATCTCATTTTTATGAAGCTATATACGGTGTATATTTTATGTTTTGCTACGCGTTCGTTTTATAAGGTTCTTGGTAACGAATGCATCTGTCTGTCCTTTTCCGTGAGAACTGAAACGTGGATAGAGTGAATCGCTACGAAATGGGTATTCGCGGAATCTGGAAGTACCTTTCACAAAATCATCGTTCAGAAGAAGTACCTATTGGAATAATGTGATTTTTCTCTGCACGAATTACTGCTATTATAAATCAAATGTTAGAATAAAACACTATATTGTGCCACTAGGTTATTTCAGTGTAATATATTTAGTTAAAAACTAAGAAAGATTTATCTTAATAGATAATAGAGCATAGAATGTTTAGGAGGGGAGTTAACCACCGCGACCTTACAGATCTATTGTGTGTTCTCCTTTCTTGAGTTATAACACATCATACAGGGCTTTAACAAAAGCCGGTATCTGAGACGGCTCAACGGAGACCAGTTCTCCATCCTCGACATCAGCCGCACCAAAGTTCATGGCACGAACGGTCGTCGTCTCGGCACACTCAGTGATAAGGTGTTCTGGTGTTTCCCCATTTTCCCCACAGAATCTGCAATTGCCGTTGTTTCTCAGCTTCAGCCTACTGAGGTGTTCGTTGAAGAGACAGTGTCCTGTTAGAAACCCCGTGACAATAGGAAGATTATTTTTACTTAAATGAATGGAAATTTTTCGATTGTCTTAGACTATTGGAGGACACACATTCCATGTTACGGATGGAGTCTTCCAGGATCTTCAGTTCTGCTTTCAGTTGGTTCCCGCTTGGGAAACAGTACGGTTCTGGTCCAGTTAGTGGAGCGTTGGTTCCTTTTCTGTCTAGATCATTTGCTTTTCATTGCCTTCTATCCCTTGGTGAGCGGGCACCCAAAGTAGTAGGACTTTATTTTCTTTGCTTAATTTGTTGAGCTTCTCTAGGCATTCTTTGACCAACTTCGAATTGATGGTTACTGAGTCGATCGCGTTTAGTGCTGCTTGACTATCGGATATGATGGCTATTTCCTGTTTCCGGTAGTTGCTGTCTAAGATAAATTGTACGCATCTTTCGATAGCATAGATTTCTGCCTGAAGGATGCTTGGGGAGGTGCCCATTGATTCGAAGTATTTAGTTTTTGGCCCAAATACTCCTATCCTTGTCCCTGCTTTGATTTTGGAAGCGTCAGTAATCAGTATACCACGTTATGGTATGGTCTTTTACATACTGACTTGCAAACGTTTCTTCCTTCCAATCCTTTTTATTATTTAATACTACAGTGAGGTGTTTCTCAAAATTGTAAATTCTTGGTATGTCATTCACTGGGAGTTGGAAAAGTGAAATTTTCTTTTTGAGGCTGAAAATTTTTCCAGTACTGTTTCCATCAATAACCATTCTAATTATTGCCAAACCTAACCTAACTACCGACGACAATGTGCAGTGGTGTTAGGTCTAGGATGACCTCTATTGAAAGACAGTATCTGAGACGGCTGTACAGAAGATAGTTCTCCTCTCCGGTATCAGTTATGCCAAAGTTTATGGTACCAATGGTTGTCGTCGCACTCAGTGATGAAGTGTTCTGGTGTTTCTGAGGTTTTTTTTCAGTCGAAGTTTGAGCAGTTAAGTTGAGGCAGTTTTCTGATGTTTTTTAGTGTCATTCCATTGATATAATGAGACTTAAAAACATGATTTTTTTAAACTCTCTCTTTGTAGCCATGGTCTCAGGTGGGGTATCTAGTGCCGAATCCAGTTGCCCCGATCGCTGCTTTATCATCTTCTATTCCACAGCTACAGGAATTTTTCTTTTTTTGTCCTGATAGCACGGTTTTCTAGTCCGTAAGATTCACTCCTGTATCTAGCTTGTAGATATAGAGGCATTATCCCAGCAACCACTTATAGTGCATCTATGGACACTGTCCCGTAGCAGGGTACATTTAATCAGCATTCTTTGCTAGATTTAGAGCGGTTTGCCAGCTAACATTTTTGGGTTGCCATCATCCTGAGTTCCCTATCGCCGGCGCCACCGTCACGCGGCATGAGGCCAGTTAGAGATCTTGCACTCTCCGTTGCATTTTTTGCTTTTGTCTGAGTCTTAGTAGACAAAGGTGCCATTTTGGTCTAGCCAGAAGCCCAGATATTTAATTTCATCCTTAATTGGCACTTGCACTCCCAGTATGTTGACCTCCAAAATCTCTGCTAGTATTGCTCTGCCAATCATTCTGCAAACACAGGTCTTTTCAGGAGCTAGTTCTAGCCCTCTGCTTTCCATCCAATGTCTTATTTTTTGTCTATCGTTATTTGCAACTCTCTTCTTCATTCATTCTTTCTCTTCCATTCTTTTAAATTCTCTAAGAAACAGGATTTAAAAGAATGAAAGTGAATTTGTATGTCTTTTTCTCTTCCAAATCTTTCTCTAATATTAAGGAATTGATTGACATTTCTGAACCCTTCATGTATATTGTCTACATATTTTACTCTTCTGTTTTTATATTATAATCTTCATGCATTATTCTTTCCTTATTTCTTATACGTAAAAAGGATTGATTAAGATTCACACATAAATTAAAATGTCCACTAATTACACTGAGTTATCTCACTAATATAAGCTCACTTAACGCTATCAATTCGCCTTGACCATAAAATGTGATCCAGTAAACTTTTTACGATTGATAAGTGACATAACTTTTTTGCAAATATCCATTATCATACTCCGCCTCGTCGCCGCGTATTTTCAAATATACACATATGTATATGTATGTACGTATGGTAATGTCCATTCATCAGTCATTGTATTTATAGATCGGCCTATCTTTCGAACGCTTAAATATAAATTTAAACGCTACCGTTTTCGAATAAGGATAAATGTTAAAGGTTAGCAGATTAGTATTTGGTATATATTCCAAGTAAAATTGCAAAAATCTAACGTAATTTTTTTATAATTTAGGATTTATTTGAAAGAGTATAGATTTTTTGATTAGAGGTGGCCATTGGGTCTGCTGCACTGCAGGCTTTTCAGATATATCATGGTCATCTTTTAATCTCTAGGTTACATTCTCAGTCCTAACCCTCCATAGTTCTTTGTCAATGGCTTACTCAAAAACTTACACTGTTTGAGGACTCATTACAGCTTTGGTAGTATTTCTGTCTTTGCTTACCAGGTCTGCCGTGAATTTTGGCGAATGTTCTACTCTCTGTAACTTTTTCGCACTCTGAACTTTCGTCTCTGCATTGGTGAACTTCTCCACCATTGTAGAGATTTGTTAGCCAACCATTGTTTTGTGGCAATTCTTATTACAGCTTTTGCAGCGCCGTAGATGAGTTCTAGGCCTATAAATGGCATTGATGAGTTTGACCATTATAACTACTTTTTTGTTTCCCTTATGACCCTCGTACACCGGTATTCAGGATAACGTAACATTGCAATGCTCACCCAATGTATTTAGAATACACCTACAATCCCACACTAGTCTAGAATTTACTTTCGAGTATCTTTGGCGCTTCTTAGCTTTAGATGGAGATGGCATCTGAACGTGTTCTTTCTTGCCTTTAAAAGAATCTAAATATATGAATTCTAATTCTAATTTTAATTCTTTATTCATGTTAAATTATCATTAAGGTTTACAATCGTCAATGTTATCAAGCAATGCAAGATACAAAGTAAAATGAAATAAATATGTCATACATATATAATACAAATAGAACATTACCGTTAAAATTTACACATTAACATTCACAAAGCACAAACACATTAAAAGATGTCTTAGCTAGAGAAATTGAAAGAAAGATACTCATCTTGCGAGTAGAACGCAATTTCACTTAAAAATGTCCTCAATTTAATTTTGAAATCCTTTTTTTTAGATGTCCGCGTTTTTTTTAGATGTACGTATATACGGAAGTATTGAAATGTTTTTGCATTAATTAGGTCATGATGCTTTGAATCCCATAATACTTGAATGTTAGATTACATTAAATTCTTCGAGGTGGCTATTGGTCTGATCTACTGCGACCTTTGCAAATCTATTGCGGTCCTCTTCTGATCCTTAGGTTAGATTCTCCAGTCCTATCCTTTTCAGAAAGTCTAGTAACTTGGAGACTGAACCCTCCATGTAGCTCTCTAGCAATGTCCTCTCATAGGTACCTATGTTTGAGTTGATGAGCGAAACTTTTATATTGCAAATTAATTTGCAGTTATGAAAAGCGGTGCCGGATCTATGAAAGGTCATGAGAAACTTTTAGGAAAACGAAAAACGCTTTGTGAATGCAAAAAAACTTTAATTTTGTCTTTCCTTTCAGGGATATTGAGTCAGCTGCTATTCAGCAGGCGATACCTGGCGACAATCCTATGGAAAAAGAACGAACTTTATCAGAACTGATACTTCAACTTCAACTAGCCAGAGAACAGTTGTTGATACAACAGCAACAACAGCAAGAAGCTAATAAGGTAAGAACATACCTATATCATATTATTATGTATATAAATATCCGATAGATCAAGTAAACTACATCAATATTTTCATTTTTTAAGAATATAAACATTTGTTATTGACATCCTATTAATATCAAGTATTTGAATGAATATTAATAAATTAACAAAGATCGGGTATTTTGAATCCAATCTCACCTATAAATAGAAGTGAATAAACAACTGAGAATTTTATATGTTTGCTCTATTTTTATAATCAGTTAAAAAAGAACACTATGCATTCATCATATGTCAGAATATATTTTTTTTATAAATAAAATAATGAGATGTTGTCTTATATCAGGTTAAAACAACAATATTTAAATGAATATTAATTTTCCAACAAGTATAGAAAACCAATTTATGAATTTTTATTTCAACTTTTACCTCCTTCATCACTTCTATAAAATGCAAAAAAAATATTCTTGTTTAATTTTAAGTGGTATTAATACATGATTATAAAAATTATACAGTTGATATTTTGACAGTCTCTTTTATCTTTTACAAATGCAGGATAATTCTAAAAATTATGTAAAACTAGAAAGGTAACACTACTATCCAAAAAACAAACATCACAAGTAATCATTATGGTGTAATCTCTCACACATATTTAGATACTCTCTTTGTGGTTGGGCCCATTGTTGTCTATGCGAAACCAAGTTAACCCTGCTAATTTTCTTATATCATGGTCCCATCTCAAGTTTGGTCCTCTAGGTCTCTTGATTTCTCGTCGGTACCATGTTGTAATATTTGTGGTCCGTCTGTCGTCTGTCGTTCTTACCAGGAGTCCTGTCCATTGCCACTTGAGGGATTTAATTCTGTGGATGACATCTATTACCTGGGTCTTTTGTCGTATCCACTCTATTCTTTTACGGTCTCTCTTGGTTATTCCCAGCATATTTCGTTCCATTGAGTGTCCTGCGACTTTCAGTTTCCTTATAATATCCTCACAATTGTTAATTAATAATATCTACTACAAATAATACATAATACCAAACCAGACTACGCAAACCCTCCTAAACAGTTTCTCCAGCTTACAAAAACCTTGACATAAAAACAATGGATTCAAAAATAACTCAAAATTAGATACTTACTAGACGACTATATAGCATTATACGTACTTATTCTAATACGGTCTGGCAACTGCCTTATGCGTAAAAGATAGCTAGCAGAACGCGATTTTTCCTGCACAAGAGCCCCAGTCCATTCAGATCGACTTCAAAAGAGCAAAAGCCAGTCAGTCAAGTGTTGTGCTGAATGCAGATCGGAAAGCCCCAACGTAAAATATGCAGCACAATTGTCGAGGAGAGTAGGAGTGAGAGAGAGAAGGCTTTTGTCGACTTTTTGTTCGCTCCCGCCTGCTTTCTTCCACCCCGGCCGTGATCCTGATCGAAATTAAATTTGCATACATCCCTTTTGTCGGCGTTTCTCTCACTCAATCCGGCCTCTGCTCGAACAAATAGGGCCCCGCTAATGAAATTGGACGACGGACGGTCCGCTTTTGTTTATTAAGGAATAGGAGGTCTTGTTTTGTAGCTTTGATTTCGGGCTTTTCTCCACGTTTTTTTTTTAAATGGGATCGTAATTATCGACGCGTCTTAATTAATTTATGGAGTTGTTTATGGGGTGTTCAGTGTGTCCAAGTGGTTCAACATACTTATCAAGTAATTTATGCCGAAAAACATATAAAAGAAAAATTCTCAACTAAGTACTTTTGGAATGTTCAAGAAAAAAAACAGAATAAAGTACTTTTTGACTCTCTCCGTCTAATCTTTAGATTCCACTCTAGAATTTTTGAAGTGAAATTTCTTTACACGCGCTGGGATTAAAAAACAAGGCCTTGACACGACAGGTGACAGGAAAAGTGGTTAAGACAGCCCTCGACGAAAAAAATCGTCCAATTTACAGTACGTCTGCTGGATCTGTGTCTATGAAAGGAATGCGAACAAAAAACATTTAAATAAACAGCAATATATTTTATACGCGACTTGAGGAGTACGTCACCGCAAATCGCTCCGCCCACTAATTTTATTGGTTACTTGCAAATTTGTCGAATTTTTATTGATGGGACGCGTCGTCTAATTTTTTACGAAAAACATCGAGAGAATATCGTTTCCCCTCTCACGGATACCCCGTAGCTACAGAACGGACAGACGTACTGTAAATTAAATTTGGTATGTCGATAGATTGGACCAAGGCCAACTTGACCGTGTACGACGCGTGTCACTGTGGCAGTTAGTTTCGACGTAAGAAACGTCAAAAATTGATGTCGTCCGATCGCGATCAATTTTGGTAGGTAGGATAGGTGAGCTACGGCGCACACGATCCCACCCTGCAAAGTTGGACACCACGCTTCGTTTGCATTCATCAGAGTGTTAAAATTACTTCACACATTTGATTTTTAGCAAAAATAGATAAAGTTCTGATATATTTTTATAAATTTATTTTCTTCTAAAACGGTAGGGAAATTGGAAAAAGTGGTAGACGGGATTACCCATGTTTAGAAGAATCATAATCTTATACAGGGTGGTCCGAACTGTATTCCGAGAACTTCGGCAGCATATTCTTGAGATAAAAATAAGTAAAAAAGTTCGTTTAGATGTATGTCCTAAAGTTCTTTGTTTCGGAGATACAGGGTGTAGAAATTTTATTTTTATTTCGATTTTTTGAAAATAATTTCTGAAGTAACGTCAATATTTGGATGAAAATTGGTGGCTGGGAGTTTTTTGACATGAAAAATTTGATTTTGATGTCAATAAGACTCCTATTTGTAGGGAGCGCTATCTACATGTGTTTTAATTGTTTTGAATTTAAAATATAAGCATTTATCGGTGAGTGGTGGTACTTCTTGAAAAATGAAGAGGCGTCTTTTGATTTTTAGCAAAACTAAATATATTTTCATTATTTTTTTATTTTTCTCTAAAACAGTATGGAAATTTGCACTGAAAAAAAGGATCTCTCAGTCGAAATGAATATGACTTTGACCCAAAAGATTGGCGCTTTTGAATAGGGCCATGAACGACGTTTCTTTGCCCAAAGCATTAACTATCTTTTCATAAGCGTTAAAAAATTACTTTAGAGAATAAAAGAATCTATCTGTCCAAAGTATTTCACTCTTGTCCCAAAATGAATATGCAAAGAAGTTATTGCTACAAGAACAATAGTCTCTTTGATTCATGCAAAAATTCTTGATTGAAAATGGAGATTTCTTGACTATAGGGACACTTTTCTTAAACCAATAGCGAATACTATTGACTCAACTAAAATTTATTTTGATCTAAGAGAAGAATATATCATATACAGGCATATTACGAGGTATATTATTTTCTGATAAATTTAGGTTTTCCTGGTCTGTAGTAAGTAAAGTGATATTATTTTTCTCGATAGTAGTTATTTCTGCTTCTTCACTCCTTGGTATTTTTTGGGGTGGTTCATCACTCTACAAATTACAAAAAAATGTTACATCATGAATAATCAAAGTAAAACAAATAAATTATTAAAATTATAAGGTTTGGTCATATTTTGAATTTTTTAATACGACGACTTGAAATTCTAAAATTTTTGTACCTAATTATTTGCATAAAAAAATCGGTACCTATATTTTTATTCTATCTATAGTCACGCATGCATTATCTAAACAGGTGCATTAGGTAAATGTCTCTTACCTTCAAATATAGCAAATAAATGCTCTAATTTCCATTTTTTCAGAAACTCCTTTAAAGAATCCATATATCCTAAAATTTGTCCATAAAAATGACAAATGCATGTTAATAACGATCACTAATTAATTTGTTATACGATATGCGTTAAAAAGCAAATTATGCCAAATTCCAAGTGGAAAATTCCAAGCAACAAAACCTGTACGTACTATGATGTGCGACCTATGAAATGCGACGTACGATTGATCGGACTGCCGACTGATTGTATATACCGTCCTTCGTCATCGTCTTTGCGTGTCGTTATTATTTTTCGTCAAAAGAGTATTTAGCTGTTGGAAAAATGGCCATGTTTCTTGAATGAAGTACTTTCTAGCGTATTTTTCTTATTATCTTAAAACAAAGTAACTTGCACTTGGTTGAATGAAAATAGATTCAAGAGAAATTTTCGAATTTTTCAAGAGAACCAGTTTTCTTGAGTTAAGAGAGTTTTTCTTCAGGTAAAATATTTTCTTTTACGCTAAAATAAATTCTCTTGCCACTAATTTTTTTTTTTCAAGAATGATGACGACTTCAGTTCAAGTCTATCTTTTTTATCAGTGTGGAGAAGTGTAGACGGTATTACCAATCTTTAGAACAGCAAAAACTTATATAACAAATGCACTTTCTCAGAATTGTAATACCTAATTTTTTTTCTCCTGTAAAGACGATCAGGAGACCTACTGTAAAGTTTAATAAAAATCGTGCTCTGTTACTTTAAACGTTGAACATTTCGAATTTAAAACAACGTCAAAATTAATATCTATCCACGGTCTCATGTTTACGGTCTAGTTTATGCCTCGAATATTCCCTGTATCTACTTGTACGGTTGTAATATTAAAATATAAAATATGAATGTTCATAATAATTTATCGTTAAATTACCCACAATTTAATAACAATTTACAACGTAAACGCAAAATGAGTTTTAAACGGCAAATTACATGCGCACATCAAAGAGGTACAATCGTAAAAATTACAAGTTGAACGATTAATGCAGTAGGTATATAAAATGAAATTTTACGTTAAATCCTGGCTTAACTTGTCGTAAATTCGCAGAAAATACACTTAAAAATACAAAATCCAATTTGCATAATAATAAGTATAATATAACTACGAATTTTATTATTTTTCATACAGTTTGCAGAAAAACTATTTATACAGGGTGATTCTTAAAGAAGTGCAAATATTTTTAGGGCTGGTAGATCTCGCTCTGGGGATAAAAGAAACATATTTTCTCTTAACCGTTTTTCAAATAAGTCGAAAATAACCGAGATATTTTATT